AGAACCATTTCAAAGAAATCATTTGTTTTCACACTTGAGTTAAAGCCCAGCTGTGTGAAGGGCAAGTGGATATTCTGCAATGGGGCAACATCGCTGGACTGGGCACTCGAGCGCAGCTTTCCAGCCCAGCACAGATGTGGCCAGCTAACTCCAGCGAAGAGCACAATGAACATCTGGAGTACAGAAGGGCTAAAAATTGGCCATACAGGGAAGCTAATGGCTTGCCTAAACCAAAATGTAACATTCAGAAAGAAAACTGGGCTGAGACAGAGAATGAATAAGGGACGGCTGGTCAAGAGCCACCAAAAAGAAACCGAAAAGCAGAACTCAGAAGGAGAAGCTTAAAATGGTTCACACCAGCAAGTGGGACTTGGAGTTCGTGGGACTGCCTTAACTAAATTTGTCCAGTGTTGTAACCTTGGAAATTCTCTCCCAGTTTTCTGTCTCTTGTCCTCTACCAAGCGGTTTCTAGAAAGAATGGCAAATAATGCATGGAAACAGATTGGATACTAGGAAGTATTTGGAAGTGCCTTCTGTGCACATTAAGAAGTTATGATGGGTTACTCATCACAAACCTAAAAGAGATACGGAAAACAGTAAAAAACAGCTGGTGATTGCCAGCTGTGCTACTGTTGCTACCAAAGAAAAAATGCTTATCTGTTCTTTTATTGGGCAGGGTCAGACGAGGCAGTGCCAACCTTAGGAAAAAGTGGGTTTTGTATGAAATGATGGGCTCTAAAACTCTAAGGCTCAAAATATACTTTGCAATTTCCTGTAAAAATAATTGAAGAAAAGGAGCAGTTGTTAAAAAGAAAGTATTTCAGCAGCAATTAGCCATCATGGTTTGCATAAATTAGAGTGAATATTTTACAGGTAGATTGAGATGGTGGGAGATGAAAGAGACAGGCCTGTTACCAACTGTCTCCTGATGAAACTGAAAAAACACCCAGCAAATTAGAAGAACAGATGTTATGTGAAAAGTCTTCCACTGGGTCAGGACATAACTATTCTTCATGGTATCGTGTTAAATCCCACCAGAGCCTGGACTACACTTCTGTCTACAGGAAACAAGGATAGTGAACCTGAATGCATAAGACTTTGAAGTGCTACATTTTTAAAGTTACGTTAAGAATAGGTTGCCCTTTTGATACTACAACTGTCAAGTCATGGTATTCAGAGCAATAGAACCATGCCAGCTGGAGGGGACCAACATCTAGTGCGTCTCTAAGATCTAGTCAAACTCCTACTCAAAGCAGGATCTTCTACAGTAACCATAATCGTAGTTAGCCAAATGTTTTTAAATTAGGAAATTCCATGCAGGTATTTTCCTGGTTTCCTGTGGTCTACAAAAGCAGAATGTAACTCAAGTAACAAAAAATTTTCAGTCCTGGTAATCATATAGTTTCTCTTTTTCTTTTCACTGTAATAGTATACATACGTAAGACTTCTAGTAATTTTTCCCATTCTTGAGATCAGGAAGCTTGCATTGGGCTAAACATATGAAATTTTAAAGATGAGTAGGTTTGCCTAGAAGGAGTGAATCAGTCAGTGAAATATTTCATCAAGAGGAAAAGGATGCCTTGATCAGAGTTACTCAGGAAAAGAGGAAAAAAAAAAAAGAGGAAAAGGATGCCTTGATCAGAGTAACTCAGAGGAAGAAATTAAATGTCCGTGGTGGAAAAAATAAATAAAATGCTAATAATAATCAAATTCCCCTGTTGGGTTATCTGCTACTAAATGTAGTAAGCTTTGGTTTTGCAGAGTTTTAGCAAGGCTTACAGGAGAACATGAGGATATTGTTGCTTTTCATGGTATTTGCACCTCCTATGACCCTAAGCTAGAAGTTCAGGTGCCACAGTTCCTCCTAGATACACACTGTTTATTCCTTCTGCAAATCAGATACTCATAACTCCTAGTCTTCTTTCCATTTTTGCCAATCTTACACAAGTTAGCAAATAGACCTGGCTTACAGCAAACCAGGGAGGCAGCACTGATTTTTTTGCACAGAGATAAAAAGCAGCAGTAGTAGTCCAGAGACTGGGGCTTACTATTTGGAAGACTCAGACGACAGCTTAAGAGGGTCAGGACATAACACCAGTATATTAAGGGCATTATAAATTCAGAATATGAGAACAGCAGAACATTAGAATGCCAGTTAATGCCAGGTGGTCTGCTTGGTAACCACAATTTTTTTCTCCTCTATAGTACAGTACTCCACCTGTTCTTCCTTCCCTTTTGACTGCCTTCAATTTCAGTAGCACCAGGACCCTAAAAGCGAAGGCTACTCCCTACCTCAGAAACCAGCGTTGTAATATCTTCCAAGAGTCTACACACAATTTTTCCACAACTAGGCATTTTTCTTTAATGTACTTTACCTTCCACCTATTCCAAGCTTCATCCAACCTATGGCAAATGCAGCCCAAAACACCACCTCCTGCACTTATTTCTGTTTGTGCCTGTTGCCATCAAAATATTCTTGAGCGCATCCGGTGCAAAGTTAATAAGAATAGTTTCCTAGCGATCTCCCAGCAAGAATGTCAAAAGTAGAGTAGGCTGTACAGAGATGAATCTGGACAACTTCAGACACTCCGAGAAGATTGTTGGATAATAAGCCCATATAATACATGCAACATGCCAGAAACAAGCCTATGGCTCTGCAGAGGCCTCATTTCAGAATCCTTTAAGATACTAAAGCTAAATCTCACAGCGAAATGAATTGCTTTCACCCTACAAGCTACATGGTTAGATAATATTAACATATTTGACCTCCTCTACCAAATAAAGTACCTGGAAAACAAGTCAAATATTGTGCCACAGCAGCATTACTTTGATGTAAGTGGAATAATACTGTTCTTTATTTACTCAGGTGACTATTTATTGCAAGGAGATGAAGTACAGAGTCCACATAGAAGCATGGGATAAACCCTTTCTAGAGGAAAGTCTGAAGCAACGCCTGTAATGTGCATTTGTATATTTAACAAATCACAAAGATAAAGACAGCAAAGTCACTTTAAGTGGGGAATAGACATTCCTTGTTTGGTAAACAGTCAACAGTCCTGCATTGGCAATAGGCACAGACAAGTAAACAGTCTTATTCTTCAGGAGAGCAACTCTATCTAGTCCCTCTTAGACCCACAGAACCCAGCTGGTGGCTTACTTAGACCTCCTTGCAATTGTACATTCAAGACATTGTGCCCCTTTTAGCCTGGCACTGCAAAGTAGAAAGAGATGTGGTAGGGAACAGGGATTTTCTCCTGATGTAACTTTGGTCTGTTGCTTTTTACCTTTCTATTGTATTCTTCTGAGAAGAGTTTGGCTGCAGCACCTCCATGATCAGCCCTCCCACCCCAATAATTCACTGAGGGCAGCTGCTGACTGAAGGAACACAATGAGAACCGAGGGGACTAAACATAAACCCCAGCATGCTCGATATGAAAACAAATATGGTACTGATAACATCTCTTCCTTCCTTTTTAGCCTTGTTCTAGGGGGGTTAAGAGGAGTTAGTAAATACTTCTGGCTTACAAAGGTCAGTGTTTACCTGATACTGTGGAGATAAATGTTTCCTGCAGTGCAATCTATGCAGACACATTTGTGTCACTGCTAATATTCAGAGCATCAGTCGCCTCCTGTGGTTAAAACCGCTATGATGCAGACTGTCTGTCCTTGCAGGCCCATCTGTCTGCAGGCAGCTTTCAGTCTCTCCAAGTCCTTTGTGTCACAGTTCACCACAAAGCTGTAGATAAGTGAGCAAGTTCTCAGTTACCATGATCACACGCAGCCCTGTGCAAATTATTCATGAGCTATTTGTAAGTAATCAGAGTTGCATGTATTTTTTTTAATAAAACAAAAATCTTTGAAACTTCCCAGAAAAAAAAAAAAAGCCACAAACCAGCAAACAAGCAAGAACTAGGATGACCAGGGACCAGAATAAGTACTTAAACCTCTAAATCATCAACCGAGGCAAATAAATAGAGGATAACAATTAATTACTATTCTTGCTTCATTTACTATTCAATATATGAAATCATCAACCCAAGAAGATAAATAGAGAGTAACAAATAATTACTATTCTTGCTTCAATTACCACTCATTGCGTCTTCTTTGCAGTGGAACTCAAGTATGCACAAAGAACACACATCTCCCTGAACCACGTTGTAATGCTCACTGTGTCCTAGCAAGTGACAGCTCTTTAATCAATCTTTATACAAGCCAAATCACTTCAAATTATGGAGGCATTCCT